GAGGGGCGGCCACGGCCCCCGAGCCACCGCCGCCGTGCCGGGCTCCCCGGCCGAGGGAGGCAGTTGTGTGATGCTCGCCCTGTCTTCGCACGGCTTGACGGCTCTGTGCTGTTGCCAGCTTTTGCGTCGTCATTGCAAAGCTCCTCTGCTTGGCTCTGAAATCCCCTGCTCCCGGAGTCATGGGGTTGCGTGGGTGCTTCCACCTCCTCCTCCTCCTCCGTGAATTAAAATGAGGGGGCTCATCTGGCTGTGAAGGGGGAGAAAAAAAAAAAAAAAAAATTTAAAAAAATCCTTCCAGGCTCTGAACACACACAAAAGAAAACGTGTGTGAAGAAACCCATCGGTGTTGGGTTTTAAAATCACACCCAGCATCTTCGTATGAGGGATGAACCTGAATCCCCAGCAGCGTGGTCCCAGTAGACCCCGGCTGGCTCTGCCTGAGGGGAAGGCGGGATCTGCCCGGCTTGGGGCAGCGCCGCCTCCTTGGAGGGCTCGTCTGGCAGCTGCCGCCGTAGAGGAGAGAGGGGCAGAGGTTTGAAGCATGGTGGCTGTTTATCTTGCTTAATGTGGGTAATGAATGTAATTGTGCAATTAGCTGCAAACCGTGGCGCTGCTTCCCCAGCCTGGAAGGGTTGCGAGGGGGATAATCCCAAACGGATTGAACGAATAAGGTGACACCGATGCTGAATGCTTTAGAGCAGCCTGGTCCCACTGGCTGGAGACTTCCTGTGGTCTGGGGAGTTTGTGCTGGTGATAAACAGTCCTTTGCCTTCTCTTGCCTGGAGAAATGGGACATTTGCTCCTCTTGCGGTTGATGGAGGAGAATGGTCCCCCCAGAGAACCATGGGTCAGCCCAGCTACAGTGCAACATGTCCTCTGGAGGTCCTTTCTTCCTTCTTGTAGGGGATCCTATAGAGATAACAGTCCTAACTTGGGTTTCTCCAACTGGCCAGGGACTGGGGATGGTCAGGCTGGCCTGGATGGGGTAGCAGAGCATGTGGCAGCTGGCCCCCCTTGCTGGTCTCTCTTTTCCCATCCCTCAACCTTTTCTTCAAGCACTTCCCATCCTTCTTGCCTGCTCTCCATCCCCACTGAGCACCTAGTCTCCTGTAGGAAACCCCTCTTTGTCTTCACCCCCTTTCCCACAGCTCCTGGAGGAAATGTGCCGACTCTTTGTGGGCTGGGATGAGTGCAGCTCTGGGGCAGCTGAATCTGGACTCAACTCCACCAGGGATGTGGTGGTGGGTACTGCCGGGCTGGAAACAGACGTCGGTCCTTTGTTTTTTAAGTTGCCTTGTTGTGCCAGTGGGGGGGATAAATGGGGAAGCAGTGGGATGCAGCAATGAGAGGGGTGTTATGGAGGCTGCTGCGGGATCCGTGGTGGAAACACTAGGCGAGCAAAATACACCTTGCCCCCATCTCTGCCACCCCCTGTCCTCCTGCTCATGGGTCTCCCCCTTTCCAAAGGCAGCAGAGAAGAGA